ATAACATCGACACCGCCATTGAAGAACAGTGTTATCCGGTCCTTCAGTTTTATTCTGATCGTAATTTCAGAACATTTTTCTATCGATTTTTATAGTAAAATATTCTTCAATTTCGAATCTTGCTCGAAAATTATATATTCCAAAAACAGAAAACTCTTTGGCTTTCAAAATGAAAAATTTCGGGCGGCTCTATCAGAACGAAAGTCCTCAAATTTAGAGTCCGTCTCTGAAGCCCAATACGGATTTCCCAAGATTTGTTGCCGTTTGGGTGAGTGTATTAACTAATCATTAGCTTCTTCAAAAGGAGTGGTCATCAGTCGTCCCGAGGTGCTTAGATCTGTATTTTACTTTTCATTATGAGCCATTCTATCGGCTGCCGGGATCTATCGGGATCTGATTTGTGCAATCCATGTATGCTGGTCGGTACTGGCCAGCTGGGACCATAAAGGCTACTGGGCAAACACACGTTACTCGGTCAGCTTCGAGTCAATGGCTAAACTGGCTCCCCTATTGTTCTTGGAGTTCCATCTTCGGTCAGCCTGTGATCGCTTGCCATTCTCACCCACCCCTCCCAAACGTCAATGTTGCTACATGTCTTCGCTAACGCATCGGCAACCAAAGCAAAATCACGCTTCAAAACAACATGTCCCGAGTTGAATTTCAGGCCCAATCCCAAAAGCATGAACCCCAAAACATACCACACTCCAAATCTGCCGGCCTTGTCTCTGGACCCGAAGCCATGAATCCTAAATCCGAGCGTACTTGATTTCTTGCCAGACTGGCGGAACTCCCCTCAAATCAAGACTACCAAAAAACATATTGCAACCTCAAGTACATCCCCTTTCATGAGCAGTTTTTGCCGCTGCGCCGTAATCTGCACGCTGACAATGGGGTGATGGGATTGGGGGACCACGCCCCCAGAGGTGTTCTTGTCTGTTCTTCCTAGACTTTGAAGTTAAAGGCCGAGGAAGAAGGCCAGAAACTATCAACAGTGGGTCAGAATTGTTCGTTCTTTTTTAGGGCTTACGGGCTTTAGGGCGCTAAAGCCCTAGGCCCAGGGCGGCCCTTGTGTGACCTCTGGTGGGAGAAGTCCCCGAATCCCACGGTGTTTGGGCTCAATGGCCAGTTTTCCGGCGAGCCTGGGCAGGAAGACCATACCCAACCCACAAGCAACTCAAAAAACAGCAAAAGCCCAAGAAATCCCTCAAGCCCCGGATCCTACACCACCTGCTTGTCAACGAAGCACCTACTTGTCGGGTATCATGGGGATCTAAAGATTAACCTTCTTGGTTATATAGGGATTATATAGGGGCTATCTAAGTTACCTACTCTGCTACTAGGACCAAGACTGTCGGATGCCAGACTCTGAAGACCTGAAGCTAACAGAAGCTATGCCGGATATGGGCTCGAGCGAACGTGCAGCAACCCTCGTTTCAAGCTGCCTAAACCCTAAACCCTAAACCGTTTAGGTTTTAGGGTTTAGGGTTTAGGGTGCACCATAAACCCTGACAACTGTAGTTGCAGATTCAACAGCTAGCACTTCGGCATCAAGCCGACAGTCTAAACCCATCCATGCGAAACTCCACAGCCCTGTGGCTCCAATCGGAAAAACACTTGGCAGTTTACGAAAATAGGGGACCCTAATATAGTGCCCTAAATAGTAGGATCCGTATTCTAAGGGCCCCAAAATTGGAACCCACTCCCACTTGGGCAAACCCCGCCAAGACCCGAACTGTACGTGTCAAACTCGAACCTTACACTGCTGAACAAGCCCAAAACGTCGTAGCGTGCCTGGTACTAACATCCAAGAAAGGTGCGCAACCTGGGATGCGGGCCGAGGGTGGGTTTCAGGCTTGCTGTCGTGAGCAGTATATCCATCACGGTAGCTGCTTTCGTTACATCGCTAGACATCTTGCTTCTGCTAGGCTATTGCGAGTCGGATTACCATCGCCGCTGTTGATCCTGACACTCTTACAGGCTTGTATGCTGAGCTTTAGGGGACTTCTGCTTATACCTTGTGTATATTTGACAAAGGACGAGAACAGTAGGTCGGGGCCTTGGACTCCGACGCATCAGACTAGACGCTCTACTGCCAACTCGTCTGTCAGCCATTGGTGTTGCAGGCACACGAGGCTTCGGGCTTGCGGTTTAGGATTTGGGGGGTTGTAGGAGAAGAGGGTCTCTGAACAGTGTAGAAGCCTGGATAATTGTCCATGCTATTCCTCGAGGGCTCTGTTGCATAAACTATACCCCCAATAGAACCATAATAAAGATAGTATATGAACAACAATGAAAAACTAATTCCCAAGGAGACCATGGTAATCCTCCGGAGATGCCCTGCAGTCCGCAGAAGAAGAGGGAGAACATGCTATTCCTGAGAGTTAGGGTTCTGTTGCATAAATATACCAGTACACACCGACTCTCCGATTGCAGCGCCAAGGAGCTTTCCAGCGCCACACTTCGAGGGGGAAGGCTAGGAGGGGTCGCGAGTCGCGAGCCTCCAGGCTGCTTGAGGTTTCACTTACCTTCGGTTAGTAGGGAATGGCAAAATGGTAGTAATAGTAGTTATATTTGTACCCCATTCCTCCATTCCCTACTAACTAACCAAAGGTAAGTTCAATGCCGTCCCAGGAACCAAATTTACCCGTTTAACTGCCGAGTATAACAACAATACTCTCAGACTGCATAAGGGCCGAACATTGCTAGTTAAGGTCGATTCCTGAATGGAGGGGCTCCGTAGCCATCGGAGTTTCCGTAGACTGTTGCGCTTGGAATCTCTGAGAGAGAAGTTTTCTGTTCGGGTTTGTGGTTTGGCAGCGAAACCCTGCACTCTCAATTGCCAGGCAGGAAACCTGGACCATCTATGGTAGGGCACCCAAGCTATCAAGTTTGAGATTTTGCAACACCGTCTGCACTCGACGTATTGAAGCTAGTTTCTGAGAGAGTCCAGTGAGGGTTGGCTCAAGGTTGTAACTCGGTATGCGCTCTTCCCCCCATCGTCCCCAGTGACGGCTTTGGGATTTCCGGTCCGGAAACTGTAGACAGGCCGTCTAGTCAGAGTCGCTTCTGTTGCTGACCGGTTGCATTCAGTTCGCTGAGGGATTCCCTAACTCTTTTCGTTCACACTACGGCGTTCGTCAAAACACGGCAAGTTGACAAGCAGGCATGGTTTGCAGCTGGCACTGCCCTAAACTGGAACGCTTAGCGCAACACCCTGAGCCTGTACCCTAATCCCAACCCCGAAACCCGATACTAAAGCCACTTGAGCCAAAACAGCCTCAAACCCAAAACCCAACAAGCCCTAAAGCCCAACCGCACCTTCTGTCTGACATGTCGGAAGCATGGCTCGGAATACCAAATCCGTGACAGCCGAGAAACTCTCAGTGCTCCTACGTAGTCTTGAGCACTCTTGTAGAGGATAACGCCGCACTCCAAAGTCTTCAAAGTGGGCTAGGATAATCCCAAACCAGCCTAGATCGGGGATTCTGATAGCCGAACCCTCATAAGCATCTTCATTTCGCTTGAATCCAAAACTTCCCCAAGCCCCGTAACTTGCAGCGGGTTGGCTTTCGGGTTATATAGGGTCTTTAAAGGTGGGTGTCGGACGGTCGCCAGCCTGCACGCACGACTATGAACGGAGGAGCTTGTATGCCTCAGACAAGGATCGCTGAGAGATTCGGATCGTCGGGGCTCGGGCCTCCCGAAAGCCCTATCTCCTATCAGGAGTATGCGAGTTTCCGAAAATATGGGGTACCTTTCTTTGGGGGTCCTTAAAGTAAGGATCCTGCTGTTTAGGCTACTATATTCGGGTCCCCTATTTTCGGAAACTCCCATCTAGTACAATGCAGTAAGATGCAGTACCGTATAGTATCATGTAGTGTACTACAGCATAATGCAGCATACTGTTCTATAGTTCAGTAGAATATCATAGACTCCGTGTCTAAACAGGTTTGAATTCAGGGAGAACTCCATGAGGCTGAAAATCGAGCACAGAAGCCACCGTGTCAAACAGAAAGGGAACGCGTGAGGAAAAGGGCTGCGCCCTCTAGCAGATGACCGGAAATAATGGCGTAAAACCAACGTGGGGCAGCGGAAGTAACAAGTTCATGGCTCGTGACGGATGGAGAAGTGTCGTCTGTGGCTCTATGCCCGTGGTCGTAGACACATGGGTGGTTGTCAAAATTATGGTCCCCTTTTGGGTCCTTATTGCTACAGACTGCTCGGCGGAAGCTTCAAGACTCTGTTACTTCAGTTCAGGACCGTTGGGACACTGCTCAGCACACCTGAAGCCCAACATTGGTTCATATCCAAATCGGCTTCAGATTCACAGCGGGTTTAGGTTTAGGGTTGATTCATGGGCTCAAACCTTTACGATCTTGTAGTGTGTGAGCCTCAAAGCTTGAGCCCTCCTGCATCCAAAGGCTGCTTACCATGCTTGACCAAGGAACAGCAGCCCAGTGCCGCATTTTGAGGTCTGCGGGGAAATTCGTTTCAATCGCCTTCAATGTGCGCGCAAGCAGGCCCTCAACCCTAAACCCCTAAACCCTAAACCCGTAAACTCGTGCATTCGGCTTTCAGGGTGCTGGGACTCAAGGCTTGCAGTTGGCTGGATTATGCAGGGGCGATGCTCTGTCAGCGCCTTGTACTAGGCTGCTAGACTGCGGTTGATGGACAAAATCCTGCATTACCCATTATAAGGAATATACCATAGTTCCCATAGTTTAGAGACCTTAGGGTCATGCAGGGTTTTGTCCATCAACAATATGAAGCTAATTTCGAGTTGTGCAGAGGCTCGCAGGCTTTCGAGGCTCCGTGCCCCGAACCATAAACTTGACACCCTAAAGGGTACACCTCCTGACAGTCCAACAAACCCCAAGCAGGTACGATCTAGCCGTCAATCGTCATCGCTCAGCATATTCCTCAATCCGAAACTTGACCCCAGATTCAAAAAGCTTCAACCTAAAACCGCAGATGCAGTAAGGTACTTCACGGGACTCTGAAGCCGACAGCCACAAAGCCAAGAATTCTCAAATCCCAAGCCATATCCAAGGCACCTCCTGGCCCCAATACCCCGAAACCCCTAATAGGAGGGCCTAAATGGTAATTGGATTTGGGGCGCAGCAACCTATAAAAGACATGAGGGTGCAGCAACCTATAAAAGACATGAGGAACCCCGAATAATAGCATGAGTAGCGGATCAGGCCCTTTTTTTGTAAACCCTGTAGATCCCTGGAGATGCGAAGATTTCTTGAGACCTACGTAAACCCAAAACGAACGAGCTCCGCGAGTGCCTCGAAGGTCTCATCATCAATCTCTATACTTGTGTAGTCTCTGATCGACTGGAGGATGGACATGATCTCCTGGAGCTTTATGGATAGGCTGCAAGTTTTTTTTTGTTTTTTGAGCTTGGGGGCTGTATGGCTTTAGGGTTGACTTTGCTTTTTGCTCCTTGTTGCTGGTGTAGGCCTTTGGGGTACAGACATTTACTCAAGACAGTTGACTTCAAGCCTACGACATGCAACAGGATTGGGTCTAGGCTCAAGCCCTAAGCCTTAAGCCTGAGCCTTCAACCCTCGACCCTAAACCCAAAGCCCGGCTTAGGGTTTAGGGTTTAGGCTTTAGGGTTTAGGGTACACCCTCTAGTGCATTGCCGTTGTGCGGCTCTTTGGCTTTAGCGCTCTTGGGTTTGGGCTCTTCTTGAGGTTGGAATTCCTGGTTCGTAGGAACCGGGAGGTCTTTTGCAACCAAGCAGACGGGAAGCCTTGAATCCACCCCAGATATACATAAATGCGGCTTGGGATGTCCTTATCATGCTGCTTTACTTCTGAAGAAGACGATCTCCATTATGTTACCCTGAACTAGTTTACGGTTCCTAAACCACCCTGCTCCAAGCTTCAGTCCAGGATTTCAGCACCAGTGCTCGAAGACAACGTGGGAAGACAGGCAACCCTTTCCCCAGTGCCATCAAGTCCATACATGTGGAACCCCAGCACGATAAGCCAGAAAATTCAACGAAACCAATAAATGGAGCCAAGGTGCAGTTTCGCTATTGATGTAGGTCTCTGTCAACCGCGTCTCACCAAACGAACCCATCCTTGGCGAAATCTGCGTGGGTTCACGTGCGAAGTGATTTCGAGGCATCAAGGCTACAAACAGACACAACTTGAATGATAAGATAAGTTTGTGGGCATTTAGCACCATTCAGCACTTCTTCTTACCACTCGCAATAGCTTTTGCACTTCTATCGCTGTTGATAGAACTACCACTCCCTACTTATGCTGACTACTGTTTTACTATTACACTGTCGACGAAATGATACTAGTTCGCTGCATGTGTAAGGCTTCGTCATCAGGACTGCTGTGGTTTTGCTGCGTTCAGCTGACGAGCTTGAGGTGAAGATTGCTATCCACACGACTGCGGCACTTCTCGAGGTGACCGTACTGGTGGGTGCTGGGGGTGGCTGCTGGCGGTGCTGGGGGTGATGGCCGTGGTGGTTCTGGTGCTGGTGGCGGCTGTGGTGCTGGCGCTGATGCTTGTGCTGGTGGCTGCTGCTGGTACTAAAGGTGGTGTGTTTCGTTGCGCTTAGATATCACTGTTAATCTATCTGATCTGGTTTCACGAGCTCTTTTCCGCCGGGCTTGATTCTCGATGTTGAAGTCATTCTACCCGGCTGGACATTGCAGAGCTCCGTGGCTACCTTCTCCGAGTCGTCGGAAACGTCTTGCGAGCGATGGCCGAGTGGTCTCAGCACATCGAGGCAGCTCGGCAGCTCGAGGCCTCAGATGGGGGGCTCCGAAAATAGGGGGCCCTACTATAATACCCTAAATAGTAGGATCCTGATTAAAAGGACCCCCAAATGAGGTACCCCTTATTGCCGGAAACTCCCAGATGGCCTCAGTCCACGGGATCGAAGTCCATGTCTTTGATGTCTTCAAGGGCCAGGGCCCTCCTCACCGCCTCCTCCAACCTGTACTGAACTTAGGACCCTAGCAAAAATTGTAATTTTTAGCTGTTTCTTAGGGATTAAAAGAACGAAAGATTGAAAAATATTTCTAAGAACCCCTAAGCAACTGTGGGTCTCCGGGCACCGGCAGCGAGAAGCTGGGAAGGAGGTCCAGTGAACCGAGGCCCAAGGAACTTAAGGAACCCACCAAACCCTCGGGAGGCCGATGTTCTGGGGAGCCCAGCACCGGGCTCTCCACATCCATGACGAGAGGGGGAGCCGGGCCCTCATCGATGAGCTGGAAGTAGAAAGCTTCCCGGCCCTGGAAGGAATACTTCTGCAAGTTCAGCCGGCCATCTTTGTCTACACAAACGTAGAGCCCTGGGCGATCGGCTAGCATGAGGCAGACAAAGCGACCAGAAAGGTCATCGAGGAGTCCGTCTTGCTCCGGGATGCGAAGCTCGAACGTAGCTCCAGCACGGAGCACGTCGGAGCCGTCGTAGCGACACAGCGACACATAACCTTTGCTGAACTTGGTAACCTGGCAAGAACTGCAGTTTAAGCTGTCTCTTCGGGGTTCTCGTAACCAGAAATAACAAAGCTTCCAAGTAAGCCTCAGCAACTAGCCCGGGGAGGTCCCTCCTGTGCTGCCATGTAGTCCAAAGCCCGGTGTAACGAGCGCAACGAGCAGCGCCCGGCTCTCCGCGATGGTGGGCCAGGGTAGCGTGAGCGATGCCAAAGCCCATCTTCCAAGATGAAAGGCTCTGCCTGGGTAGCATAGCCAATGCCACAGGTAGAATGGCCTCTATGATTGTTGCTTGGGGCTTAGGGTTGAGGGGTACATATCTTCAGCCAACGTATGAGCTGCAATCAGGATCCTAATGATTTCTCACCGAGAAAGAAAGCATATTTTCTCGCTTTAACAACTGAGACAGGGTGGGGAGGGTATATCATGGTATGTTGTAGTGCAATACATCAAGGAACCCTAATGACTAGTGACTCGTGTTTGGTATTCTTATATTAAACTGCATTATACTATACTATACTACACTACACTCTACTGTAACTATGTTGAAACAAGGAGCCTAACACATGGTATTCATACACATATATAATATCTCAAGGAACCCTGATATATATATATATATATATATATGTATATATAAGTATATATATATATATATATATATATATTTCTATATATAATTATATTTTGTTATATAGTATCGGGAATCACGCCCAGGCTCCGAGTCTCGAGCTTCCTCGGCCACCAGCACGGAACCGCGAGCTCCGACGGAGGCCTTCAAGGCCAAGGACTTCCTGGGCCGTTCTCGCTTGGAGGTCCTGTACTTAGAGAATCATGGGACTTAGTAAGTAGGTTATAACTGGGGTTATAAGTCCCCTAAGTGGGGTTAAGTATCCTAATTATAACCTACTTATAACCTTACTTACTAAGTCCCATGAGCCTTCAAGTAGAAAGTATGGTAGAAGCCAGAAAGTTGGAACATGGATTTAGGATGATTAGTGCTAGGATGCCTTATACTTTACCTTAAGGGCATGAGGACAATGATGTTCCAACTTTTTGGCTTCTACTGTAGATGTCCTGATTCCTTCTTAAGACGATGCTACTACTGGACCTACCCACAATGAGGAATGCATTTTCCAGAACATGCTGGGCTGAATTTATTAAACCTGAGGAAGGTATGCTCAAGACCAGTCGGGTTTCAAGTAGCAGACTTTGCCCAAGAAGGGCCCCAGCGCCAAGGCTTCGGGTGGCCCAAGGTCGATGCCATCATCGTGGCTGACGTCTAACTTTGCTGCGGAGGCGCCCATCAGCTGAGCCGAGATGGCCCGACATGTATCCAGTTGAAACGGTCTAGGGCTCAGGATTTTTGCGGTCATGCGGTTTAGAGTGTATGGTTTCGGGTTTAATTACTTGCAATTAGTAGGGGATAGGGGTTCAGAGATTGCCGAGGCTTACGGCTTCAGCTTGAGGATCGAAGGCTGGGGACTAGAGACAGATTAAATGCATACGCTTCAGGGGTTCGGACTGTGGAGTTCACGTTCAGGGCTCCGATAGCTCCTTCACTCCGTAAGGTGCTGAAACCCTGAAAAAAACAACAACTCAGAACCCTATAAGCCCTTGGCAGCCCTCACCGTAAAGCCCACGCCCCAAACCCTGAACTCCACGGTTTAGAGTTTAGGGTTTAGGGTTTAAGGGTTTAGGGTTTAGGGTTTAGGGTTTAAGGGTTTAGGGTTTAGGGTTTAAGGGTTTAGGGTTTAGGGTTTAGGGTTCATCTGAACCCTAAACCCTAAGCCCCAAGCTTCTAAACCCTAAGCCCCAAACTTCTAAACCCTATAGGCCCCAAACTTCTGAACCCTAAACCCTAAACCCCAAGCCCCAAACCTCTCTAAACCCTATCTGAAGCAGACCCAGAGACTCCCGTATCCCTTAACTAAGGAATATACCTTAAATCATACAAGGGATCCAACCCTAATTTAAGGAATATTCCTTAATTAAGGGATACTGAGGTCCCCTAAACCCTAAACCCTATAGATCCCTTTTAGGAACCCGTAAAAGAACTCCTACAGATCCCTTAAAAGGAGTCCCTGGGGATCTTTTGCCGAGGCGCAGGTCTACGAGTTGGTCTGGCAGGTCGTCTTTGACTGCCATGAGCTTCTGCTCAAGCTCCTGACCACAGGGGTACCTTTACAGGGATCTATCAGGGTTCTATAAAAGGATCTATAAGGGTTCTATAAAGGGTTTAGGGTTTAGAGTTTCCGAAAATTAGGGTTACCGTAAAAGGGATCTATATTGGTTCCTTTGAAGTTCCTATAGGGGATCTATAAAGGGTTTAGGGTCTGGGAGTTTCCGAAACTTTGGGGTACCTTCTTTTGGGGTCCTTATGATAAGGATCCAACTATTTAGGGTACTATGTTAGGGTCCCCTATTGTCGCAAACTCCCACATCGGGCCGATGAGGGTTTACAGGGGTTTAGGAATCTATGGGGCTCCTAACCGAACCTGGCTTCTGAGGATTGCGTATAGGGTTTAGGGTTTAGGACTTCGGGCTTTTTTATGGCTTAAGCTCCTGACCAGATCGCGCGTATGCGGGTTATATGGTTTTTAGGATCTATAGGCTCCATCTCCACAGCTTTCTTGGAAGATCATGCGATCTAGTAAGTAAGGATTCAACGGTCTTGGTTGGGGTGACAGGTAGTTATGAATATTAGATACACGATTTTTGAACCTTCACATTTTCTACAGGGTTCTATAGGGTTTGTAAGAACTGTCGGGTTTACGGATTAGGACCGTTAATGGAGCCCAATGTAACGTGGGTTTAGGGCGTAAGTCTCATGTCGAGCTCCACGATGCTCACTTAGGGTGGTGCCATATTCATCAAGGATACAGAGTGCTGACTTCAAAGTGGTTCATCAGGGATAGCCGTATAAGTTTAAAACCTTACCTTAACCCTGAATAACCTACCTTTTTAGGGCTCCTTATTATTATGATTTCCTCATATAGGTCCTCAAAAAGGTAGGTCCTTCAGGGTTGAGGTAAACCCTGGAGGCTCGTGTATGAGTTGCTTTGGACTGGTGCCCGTCCGGGGGTCAGGACTTGGCAGTTTCCGAACGTGGGGGGCCCTAATATAGTACCCTAAATAGTAGGATCCTTATTAAAAGGACCCCAAAACAAGGTACCTCTAATTTCGGAAACTCCCACTTCGGTGTTGCAAAGGAACCCAGCGATTTTGTTCGCCTGTCAGATGCTCCAGGATGTCGGGGCACTCTCTTACTTGCCCAGTTTTGTACGGGAAGCAAAGGTAAACCCTTGGGATTATGTCGGGATCCAGAACTTCGAAACAAGTTCAAGTTAAAGGTCACTTAACTTACTCACTACTGAAAACCAGCTACGACGAGCTTTCGGATGGGGCTTGGAAACACAGACATCTTCCTGGACCGCAAGTTCGCCCCACCCATCCTAAACCTTAAACCCTAAACCCATGGGCGAGAAGGCAAGCTTGTAGGCTTCGAACCTGAATTACCTCGGGAACGTCCTGACACCGAAATCCAGTAACCGTCCCAACACGGCAGGAGAAAATCCAGCTCTCCTTTGGCAGATCTTCCTTGTACCTCAGCAAGTTCACATGAAGCTTTCCTGGAAAAAAGCTTTCTCGCATACCTCCCAAGGTGAGAACCTCTTGCAGCGTGAAACAGCCGCAGCAAGATCTCTAAGGGTAGGGGGGCAGCGGTTTCTCGCAGCCTTGGTTGCTCCCTCGGGCTCACCGTCAGCTAGGGCTTGGGGTATACAGTTGTGGTATGTTGTGGTCTACGCTGCCTCCGCAGTCAGCGACATTCGGAACTTCAAGTCCACAATCCGCCGACAGCGAGGCCAAGATAGGTCAAGACAGGCTTGTGCAGAATTCGCAAGTGCGGTGACACACAGGTGACCTTGTCAACACGCAAAAAAAGAAAGCATCCCAAACATCAGAACCGCCACCCCTGAACCCTAAACCCTAAAGCCTGAATCCCAAAACCTCTACATAAACCCCAAGATCCTAAGGCCCTACGAACCCCCCCCCATAGTTTCAGCTGGAGAGCTTAGGATCGATGCTGTCCAAAGGATCCTGCAAGAGCTGTCTAGTTCATGGTTGGGATAGGATTAACAACTGTTTAGGGTTTAGGGTTTAGGGATACCCAGTAACCTGAGAATAAAACGGCCTCTCTTTTTGGTATTGGGTAACTTTATAAGGAACCTACTGTTGATGATATAAATCCTGCATGACCCATAATAAGGAATATACCGTAATTTTCATAGTTTCGGGCCCTTGAGGTAATGCAGGATTTACATCATCAACCGTAGGACTACAAAAAGGGAATAAGGGTACTACTGGAGATCCTAGTCATGGTTGGGATAGGATTAAAAACTGTAGCTGTTATTCCTTATTGGGTTTAAGTACCCAGAAACATGTAAAATGTTACCCAATTATGACAAAGTTGTGGCTGAAAGCCAATGGTCTCTCACGTCGCTTAAGCGCATGCCGGGTGTAAGGTTTTAGGGCTTCGAAGCATCTTTATCCTCTTGCACTTTTGGAGTATGCAACATCCCATAAGCAATAAATCCCTGTTCTAGTTTGTTGACGTTGCTGGCCTGAGGACTTTCGATTTTTGCTATAAGGCTTTCCCTCATTTACTACCCTCGGAACCGCAATTGAACTGATGTGCGAAGAGGTTCAGGCTTGACATGTCGGCTTCCAGGATTTCTTGAGCTTTCTTTCACTTGCAAGGTCAACTGTGTAAAGTTACGTGAAGTGAAAAGAAGTAGGTGAAGTGAAATGAAATGAAGGGACGGGACATGAGGTTAAGGAAGACGAAGCGAAGTAGGTATCAGCATCCTGTGTTCACTGGCAAAAGATTTTCAAGGTATAACCATGTACAAAGGTGTTACAAAAAGGCAACCGCATTTGCAAGATTACAGTATCTTGTAGGGCTGAGTGCTGCAAGCTGTTTAAGCCTAGCCCCAAACACTACATGAGCCCTAACTACTGTGGGGGCCTGGTTGAGTCGATCAAGGTTTGGGGTGGTGGTATAATTTCGCATCTATAGGGACTATACGGGGATAGTACTATTTTCTAACAGTCCAGACCTCTACATGTAGCCCCGGAAAGCCTCAGAATGACCCGCATAGTACTGTAGACCCGTAGGCCTGAAGCCCCAAGCCATAAACACTGAACCCTAGATCCCCAAGCCGTACAGACCCTAACGCCTGAAGCGCTAAACCCTCAAGCCATACTGTTGATGGACAAAATCGGGTACCTTTAAGGGGTTCCCTTTAAGGGATCTATAGGGGGTTTAGGGTTTAGGGTTGATGATATAAATCCTGCATGACCCTACACGGTTGGTCGCCCGAAGATATATCTACTTAGAGGCAAGATAACGGCTAAACTATCTTCTAACATGATGTATGTTATCTTCTATATATGTCATGGTTATCTTTGTTTATCTTCTTTTATCTTTTTTATCTATTTTTATCTTTTCCTATCTTTTTTGGTGCATTTTGCAATATTTTGTGGTATAGCACTTGCAGCGATTTGACACCGCCGCTGATATTTTGTGGTATAGCACTTGCAGCGATATGACACCGCCGCTGATGGAAAAGAAGCCATGTGATGCCGGGTTTTGGTGTGGCTATAGTGTTGTTTGCAGCGACTCGAAACCGCCGTTCTTGAGATTGGGGGACACCAGAGGCTAAAAGCATTGGCTTGGACTCTTTTTTGCTCACGGAAGGGCTCGCACCACATCCTCGTTCTCGCAAAGCCACCAGGAGGCGTTGCGCACATGTCGCAAATCGTGCAACTCGCGCACAGTGGATGTGCGGCGAAACACAGTGCTGAAGACCGCGGTTGTCACCGGCCGATACTGCCTGACCAAGAGGACAGGCCTGTCCGCGGAATCCTTCAAGCATCGCACAATTTGTCCTGGAACAGGCTCCAAGAGGAAATCGCCTTGTGCCCAATGGCGGCCATGAAGCCTGACAGCCCGATAGCTCAGACCAGCTCCATAAGTGCAGCGGGTAGGTTTCCCCAAGAAAACTTGGGCCTGCTCTGCAAAGAACGTTCGCAGCTGCTCGTGGCAGGAAATAACCATTCTCATCGCCACTGCTTCCGACCAAGCACGATGATGCGTCATTGTGTCATAGTTTTTGTCGGCCACACCCTTGTACATCCTTGGCGGACTTCTGAACCCCTCCTAAAAGTTAAACCTTTAGCATCCTTATATATTATAGTTGATATAGAAACTCAAAAAGTTAAAGTCTAAAGAGCCAAGCAGAAG